ATGAATTGTATATGTCAGCTAAATTCTGTAAAAAGCGAAAAAATCAAGAAAAAGAGGTAAATCATTTTGGTAAATAATTACTAGATCTGTGTGCAGTAGAGAATTCATTTTCTAAATGGTAGAACAACAGTGACTTATTAGGAAACTTCACATTTATTTCAAAAAGAGGTTATAGTACAATTGATTACTGCATAGCTGATTCAGCAATGTTTAAATACATTAGTGACTTTAAAGTATTAGATGAAGATATTTCCCTCCATCTACCTATACTTTGTACATTAAGTATTTTAAACATAGCACAGAGTTTATGGAGTTTGATGTACAACTATAGAACATTTACCAAATTTTAAATGGGATGTGAGGAAATCTGCTGAATTTTCACAACATATATGTAGTAAAGATAACTGTAGCATCAGAAATTAAATGTATTAATGAGTCAGATGACTAAATTACGGAAGAAATTGTCTGTAAATTGAGGGGTGTCTTGGAGAAATGTGGTAGGGCACATGGAAGTAAAAGTTGAAAAAATCACTGAGGCAAATACAGAAAAAAATTAATCAGAGGTGGTTTGACAAAGAGTGTAAATAACTATAGAAAAGGAAGTGTGAACTTCTTAACAAATACAGAACAACACGCATAGCAGAGGTGAATATCTTGAAAGTAAGAAAGGATATAAGGACCTACCGGTATGTGTTAAAAAAAGGAAGAGACTATAGAGAACCTATGAAAAACATATTGTGTGAAGCAACCAACGATTCTACTTAGTTGTGGAAAACTATAAAGATGGAATACCAAACGAATTCTACAAATATTCCAACAAAGATGTAAAGAAAAATGGAAAATTTTTTATCAAATCTTCAATTCAGGACAGTTTCCGGAGTCTTGTACAAAAGTGTGATTATTCCTCTTCAAAAAAGGAGACAAAGAAGATCCCAATAACTATAGGGGAATTTCACTACTTGATTCCTGCGTAAGAAAATTCACAACAGTTCTAAATAAGACACTTAAGGAGGGATTCTTTTCTGGTTTCTGATTAGATGAAATATTCAAAGTATATTTGCTTATACGTCTGAAATATTTAGATGTAAGGGATTTAAAAGATCATATCTTTCTTCCCTCATCATAATTGGTCGCCCGCGTGTCGCAGTGGTTAGAGCCTCTGCTCTAGAGTCGCGGAGTAAGGAGTTGATCCTTACGTCGCGGGTTCGAATCCCACTGTGGGACGTGGAGACCGGTCCTTCGGATGAGACCGTATAAACCGAGGTCCCGTGTCGCAGTAGGTGCTGGCACGAAAAAGATCCCTCACTGCTCAATGGCCGTAAGTGCCGAGTATAGGTCAGAATTTGTAGCCCTCCACCGGCAATTGGTAACGTCTCCATATGAGTGAAAAATTCTCTATAGAGGGACGTTAAACAACAAGCAATCAATCAATCATCATAATTGTACAACTTTAAATAGAAAAGGTAAACCTAGTTTGAAATCTAGAAGGGACTACATTTTTGGCGAAAGGGGGCATATGAGAATATCTCCTTTTCTGCTTCTCAAAATTACTATAGAACAATGAATTTAATTAAAAATTTTAAACAATCAAAGACATTTCAAATGTAAGTAAAATTAATAATAATGGACTGAATTTTAAAGATATATCAAATTAATATGATTTTCCAAACAAACTACAATTTTGTTAGCTTTTAAGAGCTTCCATTCCAGTAGAGATTTGAAATCCGTAAAAAGTGTTTTTCTCTCTCTTAGTACACGGTCAAAACTTTGTGTTTTTGTATCAATTTGTTTCTTTATATGACTACTTTACCATATGTGAAAAAAAGATAAAATTAAATATACGAAGCATATAAAAATAACTAATATATCCTCAAAATCTAGAAAAATAGAGGAAATTCGGATTAGCCAATGTCTATATTAGTTCAATTATTTATGTCAATTTGGTAGTATCATCTAATAGACCCTATATGGTAATATCTTTTTATGCAAAAAGAACAACATTTCATCTATTGAAATAGATGTAGGCATCGCACGATTGGCAACAGTATTTTTTTTATTCTTAAGGACAAGGAAAAAGATAATGCCCTTGACCTGACCTTGCTTTTAAAATAAAACGGTCAAATTTAATCTAATTGATACCATCACTTAATGATAATGTCTTCTTGAGTCTATGAAAATTTGATTAATTTTTAAATACATGAAACATGAGAAGAATTCCTCCTTGAACTATGGTCCGAGACCCCTGGGTGACTTGAGATGGAATATTTTGTTTCAGTATTGTCCATCCAATTAAGAGAAGATGTATCAATATGTACTGATAAGATTTTTAATAAGCAAAGACAAAAATGTTCTCAAACGTACTGCTATTTAAAAAAGAAAAAAAAGGTTGTCTATGAGAAAAGAAATGTTAATCTTATGATCTAAGATAAACTATGGTAACATATTAATACAGTATTGTTCCTGCTTTCAACGCTTACGCATTATGTATATATAAAATGTTTATAATTCATATGGATATGATGCCTAAATGTACAGTGGACAATGTCCTTTGAGTACCACATAAACATCTTATCTTTTCTTATCTAGCTGCAAATGTTGTGCATGGCGGACTTGCACGCTGCAAATGAATGGCGGGGGGGGGGGATTGTTGTTAAACAGTTATGTGTTACATTCTAAAGAAAGTTAAACGATAACATTCAACATTTTTATTAAATCTCTGATGTTTTTAAATCAAATTTTACATTACTGTATTCATTTTTGAAAATCATTAGATAAAAAATTCGGATATTTGTAGTTTGTTGCTTGTTGTGTTTCTTTTGCGTCTCTGTATATTTTTAGAAACAAATCTCATGTTTAATTTTTATTATTTTTTTATCTTTTTTTTAATATTTTTATAAAATTTGTCTTGCATTCTACTGCCATTTATTCTTTTATTGATAATACATGTAATAACATTTACTGAATTATATTCTTACATGTACCCGCACAATATTGTTTGCCGACGAATCTATGAACTGAATTCAAATATAATTTTCGAAAGGAACGCTAGAATATGTTTCCTCATCAAACATTCACATTTAGACCTTTACTTGGTGAGCAAAGAGGATACATAATTTATTATCTATGTCTGTCAATGCCCGCAGTTAAACGGCTTGTTTTTAAGGTCTCATCCCAAAAAAATGCAATATTCACTTGAATGTGCCGAGCAGTTGGGAACATTTGCTACCTATTATATATCAACTTTGTTTTGTCCTGACCCGGACTCGAACCCACGACCTTACAACGACGGAGCGAACGTTCTTTCAACTAAGCTCCCTTACCCTTTATTCGAAAAGATCAGACTCCATATTGAAACAGTTGATTGCAACTTAAAAAATCCTCATTACAATGTCACTTTTTCACTCGACCTTTCTAAAATGAATGCTTATTCTCTTGAACATAGCACAATGTTTCTTCTGCAGTGGTATTGCAACAATGTTGTATTTATTAAAAAAATCATTTTCATTGCTGTCTTTTAATGTGTTTCCCCAAGGAAGAAGTAATCATTTGTTTATTTCAGATAAAATGTGGCGACAAGCAAACATTCAGTCTTTTGTAAAGGTGGGGACATGTCCAAATATATATAGAAATGGAAATGTATGCGGGGAGAAAATATTTTCCAATAGCAAGTTTTGTACCGAATGTGGATGGCTAATTGATATGAAAATCTTTGAACCGGGATCTCGGATGTGCAATTCGGTCAAATACGGAGAACGATGTCTAAATATCCATGCAGAAAAGTTTTGTCCTGAATGCTTTACAAAGTCTACAGGTATGTAGTAATTATTCGTGATACGGTGTCCAGTAATGATAAAAAGTCTTTGTTTAACAGTGGTTATGACACATGTATAATGTAATCCTTTTGGTAACTAAAGATGTAGTTACAGATTTGAATTGTTAATTGTTAATAATCGATGCACGCCCACTTATGATATAAAATAAAGAGGTAAAATATATATCGTGGTGACCTTGACCACTCTTGATATACATCTTTTGCATTAGTGGATGGACTTGCAACCATTTTTGATATAACTGTATAGGGAAGATAATACCGTTTTGAAATACCTTTATTTGTGTCACCTGGCGACCATAGGGATCGCTTTGATCGATATATTTTTGTATATCTATCCGAATCTGTAAAACCACATAATTTTAAAAACTGTATGAGGTAGGGACTTTATGTCCTGCCCATGTACTTGCTCGTGCTTTTCACAGACTTCTGTAGAGAGAGAGAGAGGAGCAACCTGATACGTCGTGCTACAATTATGAAAGCAAACGAAGTATCAGTTTGTTACTGTGTAATACGCTGAGTATTTTTAATAAGCTTGGAAAGTCTGAAAAGAACAGAAAATAATGCGGTATCAGGAACCAATAATAGAAATTTATATATTTTTAATATGATATTATTATGATCTGATTTAATATTATATTTCGTCAAATACTATCTAAATATGTACATATTGCAGGGAAATAACACATTTCATTTTTTTCAAACTAATTAATAACACCACAATACAAAAAAAAATACTCTGGAATTCTTACGAGAGTTATTGGCCATTGCTAAGAAAACACAATTCGTACCATTTTAGAAATGTATCTTAACGTTAAAAACCATCTAATCTGCAGTCATTATTTTCAAATTGCTTTAGTTTGCCAAAAAGCTACATAAAATTATGAGCAGTATTTCATATGTTTCAAAGAGGTGTCAAAACAAATTGAAACAATTTCTTTCTCAAAATATTTATGCTTCGAATCTAATTTTAGATTCAACCGAGACAGAGAGGACAACCGCACAAGATGTCGTTTCATGTGATCTTTGTCCAGAAAAAGAAAATAAAAATCCAGTTGAGTTTGTTTGTAAAAAATGTGAAATAAATCTCTGCAAAGCATGTGTTGGTCTTCACGTGTCGTCAGAGCCTTCAATTCTTCATGATATCACGGGATACAAATTCAAAGAAGATATGAGAGACATTAAGCTTGCAGGTTGTAAGATGCATCAAAATAAAAAATGCGAACTATACTGCAAAAATTGTAAAACTTCAATTTGTAGCAAATGCGTAGCATCAAACAATCACTCTAACCACATATTCGAGGAAATTTCTGTTATCTGCGATAAACTTAAATCACGCCTTAGGAAAGAGAACCAAGAATACCAGCGCTACATTACTCCAACATATGATAAGATAATATCAAACCTTCAGTCATCATTAGATACTCAAAAGATAAGTTACAAGAAGCTGAGGGAAGATGTTGAAAAGCAAAGACAAAGACTTCACTCGGAGGTAGATAGGTCAATACAAACACTCCTCCACTCTGCGGATGTAATGGAAAATGGAGACATGACTGTCCTGTCTAGGTCTCTTTCTGAAATGCAAAATCGACGCTCTGACATTCAGCTGGCTATAAAAGAGAACCAAAAGTTGGAGAGTGATTACGATGCTGCCAGCCTAATGGAGTATTCGTCAAAGATGTCTGAATACCTGCGTATTCCATCTTTAACAGAGGTGACTACACCCAGTTTTATCCCGAAGGAGGTAAAAAGTGATGTTCTTGCTAACATGTGCGGAACCTTGATTCCAAGCACGAAAACGAAAAGGGAGAGCGACTTGATAGAAATTTTAAAGGAAGAGGCGGGGGAGGGTCAGTGACCTTCTATTCTTTATTTTTCAATAAACAATACATTAACAAAGAGAAGAATATCTGTTACACCATTTCTGTCGATTGTTACAAAGTGTTGCTTCATGCGAATACTTCACGATCTGATCCATCCTTCTGTCATACTGTTATATGTAGTGTCAATTTAGATTTTTGTGGAGCACTGCAGCTATATGTCTAGTAAATTGTAGAAATAGTGGAAAACTGCAACTTTCAGACCTTGTACGAGGTTTGTTTGTTTGTTTGTTTTTTTTTTTGTTTTTTGTTTTTGTTTTTTTTTTTTTTTTGGGGGGGGGTGGGGGGGTTGGCTCACTTACCGTTTTACTTTTTTTGTTCTAACTCTCAGCTTTGAATATTTTGGACTTTTGAAAATTTTAATTTAAAAATTCAAAAAGATTGTGTTGTCTTTTCTTATCACATTCCAGACAAGAAAATGCTATTTACAGCAAAATTGCACGGCTTTTTACATTACCTTGAAAAATCCAGGACTTGCATTAAAACTCGACACGGTCCCAATTTATTGATAAACTTATGAAAAAAAAGATACAGATTCTTTTTAAAGGCTTGCAACAGTACAGTGTCCATTTGTCGGACAGTGTTTGTTTGTTTGTTTTAAGTTGTATCGTAAATGCAATGCATAATACCACTGTATTTTGATTGAATGTTAAAGACAGTAGTTAAAAGTGACATATAGGCTTAATTATTTGCATATTTCAAATATTCCAATGTTGTGATTGTAAATAACACATGTCACTTTAATAAACCATTTACTTACTTACATAATGTTTTTGTAAAATAAATGTCATACCTCACACTTCGTTATGTATCTACAGGGCTTTAACACTCTTAGCAAAAACCTTGTGGAAGTCTCCACTGATTCTCAAAAGAGAACTATTTAGACTCCCCAGAGATGCTTACGAATTTAAATGTCGTTAATGACTACCATTTATGTATTTACTTATTAAGGAGTAGAAAATCTTAATTGGTACACGGATATCGTATATTTGAGGGGAAAGTCATATGTAGTTTATACCATGTTTAAATTTAAATTTTGAGTTCATGCACTCCAATTATGTATTTTGATATATCTAGTGCACAGATTTCTCAAATATTTTAAGAAGTTTTAGGTATTAGTTTTGTTGTTTCAATGCTATTGTCCACATATTGTTAAAAATATTTCTTCATTGATGATTAGATTGTACTCTTCTAGTAAATATTTGTAAATAAATTGTTGTTTTTGAAGTATTATACAGGGTCAAATATGTATTTCGTAGATTATGACAGTTTGTTTTGATTTCAAAATGCCTTGTATGATATATTAACTAACCCAATAATTCAGCTTAAGGCGTCTTAACTAACAATTATCCGCTTTTTAAATGCAATATCTCTGCATTTAAATATTGATAACTTCGTAATGCATTGTTTATGTAAATTTGATGAAATGCGAATAAATGTTTATGTGTTTTGTTGCTTTTATAAAGATAATTGTACAATTTTCCTTCATGCAATAATTACCTCGGTCAACTTGGGAAACCCTATATTCCATTTTTCTACAGGTACAATATATATGAGCAGGATAAACAATAGCTATACATCCATTGGTCACTACGATTTTGATTTTCTATAATGATTATCATCCACGAACTTTCTATGCCAGTGATCTTATGGTTTCTAATTTGTCACAGAAATGTCATTCGTTTTTTATAGCCTCTTGAGTCTCACATATAATAAAGTGTATTTTGCCACTTAAACAGTGACTACTGATTTGACCCAGAAGAAACTGTTAATAAAATAACATAATAACATAATAATAAATAGTAATTAAATATTGCATACATTTGTTTTTCTATTTTTTTTTTAAAGAAAAGAATCTCTGATCAATGTATATATTTAAAAAAAATTGGACGGAAAATTTCATCAATGAGCTTAGCATAAGTGCAAGCGAACTCCAGATTCTATTGATGCAGTTATCAAAAGAATGTTTTATCCAATCAGAATCAATTATTTTATAGAAATTAAATGATTCATAATTACTCATTATGTCAATATTTTTTTTTTCATGGATCGCAGTTCATTTCTCTTCCTTTCGGTATTTCTGTTAAGTCTCTCATAAATTTATTAGTACACATTGATTCAACACAAACCCGCAAACAGATCAGTCGGATCTGATTCAACTCAACTCCTCTCTATTCTTGCAGGAATAATAAGCCGTTATATGGACTCATGTATATTTCAACAAAATAAAGCACATTCGATAAATATTACTTCCGAACAGCTGATTATTAACAACTTTCATTGACATCGTGGTTGTCAAATAGGAAATATGAAATATTTGAATAAAAAACAAAAGAAAAAAATCAGAACTTTTTGAATTTTTTAAAAATATATATCTTTTTTTAAATACTTTAAATAAAGTATGTATAGATCTATCAATCATTTAAATCATAAAATTAGGAAAATGTTCAAAATTGTACATATTTATTCCTTCGTTTTATCAATTATTTGCATCAATAAACATAAATAATCAAGATAACATCTAGATATAGTTGATTATTACATTGTTCAAGTCATCGAATGACATTAATTGCACAAATGTAAAATTCTGGTTACTGTTAATACGTTAATCGGTTTTCTCTTAATATGACAGTATTCGATTTCTTTAAAGTTTGTTTTTCCCTCTGAATGTTTAAAAAGATTTGTGTCGTGTCAAGATCGACATCGGCCCCTGTTGATCAATAAATCGGATTTAAATACATAACGAAGGTGGAATAATAAATACGCGAGAGTGAAATTTACCTTTTATAGCGGTCGAGCAATTTACAGCCCGTAATAGGCACATCAATATTCTAACTTTTACCATTCTGCATAGTCGTGTTAATTTACGAGGGAAATATACACTCTCGTTATTACGTGGTCCCGGGGTTAACATGGAGCGGAAGGGATCGTAGTGTCTTCTGACTGTAGCGTCCTTGGTTACCGTGATACTTACAACGTTATCATTAGTGGTGTTCCGAAAGGTCTTCGCGCAATGTGGCAAAATGAAAACACGATGAATAATTAATATACTCAGAGACATCATAAAGTCGCCGAGGGACATAGCACTATAGTATTATATTATATGCATAATTTTCCGTCCAACAGAGAAATTGTGACCTTTTCATAGCCTCATTATATTCTATTGTGAATATCACAATCGGTGAACCATCTTTGACGAAATATTAATATTTGGGGGAAATAATTCAGAAAAAATCATAATGGCTCCGGATATTCAAGAAAGAGGGAAAAGAAAACGAATTTTAATTGGTGCAGAATATACTAGTAAGTATATAATTTAATAATCTAATTTAATAATCTAATTCCTGTGCATATGCATTGGCATACTTTCGATAAATATTTAAAACTCGACCAAAAGGGAATGGACGTTCTAATCAGGATTTGATTAAACCAAACTGAAGTACAGGTTTGTAATTAATGGCAAAAAGAACCAGTGCCAAAAGTTTATGTTTAGAAATAACTTTTGTCCATATGAACTTGCTCCATTACTTGTATTAACTTAGTTTTTTTAAGTAAGCGTCTCTAACAAATTTAAGAATACTGCCTTTCAATATGCCATGTCAAAATTTATTTATTTATTTATTCATTCATTTATGCATTTATTTATTTACAAATGTGTGTAAATGTTAAAAATGCACAAAACGAATGTTTTCAATATCTACACAATTAAACACCTGCGCTTGTTTATAAATCAAATAAATGGAAGTTGGTTTTTTTTAGGTGTCTGGTAAATGAGAATAAACATTTCAATATGTTCAGTAAAGAAAAATAAACAAAGAAGCAAATCAAAAGATATCGATGATATTCTCTTAGATCTTTAGTTTCGCCCGAGGTGGCTTTTATTTTCTTAAATCCCACATTGGTTTTTTTTTTTCGATATATTTGTTTTATCCCTGGTGATGATTTTCTGTGCTTTAAATGCCAATTTGCCATCTTTGTAGCAAGAAATAACACTTTGTATAAATTTGAAACACTACTTTGTGTGTGTGTGTCTAACGATGTCAGTTGTTTGCACAGTTTATTAAGTAGTTGAAAGATTGAGACTAAAACTAAAAATTTTTTTTTGAGAGAGAATTTAGCATATTCTAAGTGAAAAATTCAATTGTATGTAGATTTTTATCATGCAAATTCAAAATGACGTACATATTCAGAGAGAGGAAAATAATGATTGAATCCGTTATTCACAAATATGGAATGTTATTATAATGGGATCATTTTTTGCTATTATCAGAGGAAAATATTTAAGCCCCTTTTCTAGTCGTCGACAATATTTAAAATGAAAGGAAAATGCAGACAATTTTTCTCTGCATAAAAAAGACATTGTCCCTATCTGACAATGTATTATCATTAATGGACCAGACTCGGAGTCATTTAAACGCACAGGAGATTTTGCTTTTGTTTACAATCTCTGTAAAACTCATTATGAAAATCTAACACCAATTATAATTTGTCAGGTATTAGACGAAAACCCCTGGTTTAGACTTGCACAATATCAAGTTCTCTTTTAAGGTTTTACGTTCAATAAAAGCTTGCATAAGGTTCAGAATTTTGGATGTCGTTGGATAGAATATTCTATATGAATGTAGTGAAGTTTTATTTCACGCAGACATTAAACAGTTCAATGTAGTTTTACATGAAAATTTGTGAAGCTGTATTATTACAACGCCTATCTCTACTGACGCAAATCCATAATCTGTACACGGGGCCACGATATACATTTTAAATACTCCTAGTTTTCATAGAGTACATTGAATGAAAAGAAAGACAAAATCACGATGTATTATGCACGACACAACTCAACTCTTTTAATAAGCGAAAAGAATTTGTATAGATAACGGGTGAAAGAAGAGGACCATACTCTGAACTAAGTTATAACGTTCAGTCCGTAGTTACGTTTACATAATTAAAGAAATCAATTCAACATTTAACGGGGTGCGGA